AAGTGTTCCCCCTTCACTACTTTAAGTAATGCTAATCAGTAATGATCTCTTTTATTTTCGTTATAATCTCCTTATGACAATAATTGATTTGTCTTGATCCCGAGGCAGTACACTTTCATTTAGTTGATTATAATTTTCTTTGGTTTACAGGGTGAATATGATTCCTTTAATTATTCTTCTGTTTCTCATTATATTCATTTTTTTTTTTAGATATTTCATCATGATTTGTGAGACTCTTTCCAGATTACAAAGCTTGAAGGCGATTTATACTGAGTAGACCTTGTCTAGCTTATCTTCACTTTTACATATTCTGGGTTTATTGTGACATTGATTGCGCGTTTGTCTGTGTTTATTATGGAACTAGCTGTTTCGCTGTCAAATAACTTTCCTAGGCGCGTTTCATTTTGTGGAAATGTTGTACCTATTTCCTCTATGAGGCTTTTTGTACACTTCCTCTAGTGACGCTACTATGATGCCTGGATGAAGAAAAAAAGAAGGCTTACGGAAGTAAACTCTGTAAGATTCATCTTCCAATGTACACCGACTTGTTTTATCCCTTTGTTCTGACTTGCAGTATGTGAAATCGACGTTTGAACGGTGTCTGCACATCGTATTACATGGGTATTCCTGAAATGACTCCTTCAAGGTTGGTCACACATCATCAGACAACAAAAAGATACTGTGCGATACGTATGAGGAAGAGTTATTCAATGGTTTAAGAAATAGGTAACTGCAGTTCTCGTGGTTCCGCAGTCATGTTACAAAACAGAGATGCAGCCCTCAAGTGGTTGTGGTAGCGTTCCCGTTCACCTCATAATGGAATCTGATCAATGCCGGGCATACTTCTTTATACCCTTACTTCCTGCCGTACATAATTTTATGAGCGGTACTGACCTTCCGTATTCGCTGTCGGTATGGCAGAGAAGGGGGACTTGGCTATGCACTTGCTCGTGGCAACCTCTTTTAACTGTTCCATACTGCGCCTTCATTCGTTTTTTTTTGTGTTGGATATCGATCCTTTTGTCCGCGCAACACCTTCAGGTATTTTTTCCCTTTTTATTTATTTCACTGCTTGCCTTACTCTTATGTGAATGGGGTGATAATAAGGGTTTGTGTCTTTGAATCCGAAGCGTACTATTCGTCTCGGACTACTGTTTTTTACATACTGTATTCAGGAGAATTGGAGATCAATATGCAGCATAGAGCGATCATATTCATGGACACTTCCTTCACACATTATTTTTATTCTTATTCTTTTTGTTTGGTGTTGTAATCGCACATCCAGTTAACTTGCCTATTTATCACATTCCCCACATCTTATTACCATGACAGCTCGTCCATCCGTGAGCGTGTACTCGGCGTCGTCGGACGCGGTTGTCGGGACGGTGCCGCTCCCCGCGGTGTTTACTGCGCCGATCCGGAGCGACATTGTGCAGTTCGTGCACACGAACATGGCGAAGAACTCTCGCCAGGCCTATGCCGTGAATCGACTGTCTGGGATGAATCACTCGGCGCACTCGTGGGGCACCGGCCGCGCGGTGGCGCGTATCCCGCGTATTAGCGGGGGCGGCACGAGCACCTCTGGTGCGGGCGCCTTCGGCAATATGTGCCGCGGCGGGCGCATGTTCGCACCGACGAAGATCTTCCGCCGGTGGCATCGCAAGATCAACCTGCACCAGAAGCGCTTCGCTGTGGTGTCCGCGCTCGCGGCGTCGTCGCTACCGTCGCTGGTGATGTCCCGCGGGCACAAGATCGAGAACATCGCGGAGGTGCCGCTGGTCGTCGAGGACGCAATCCAGGCCTTCGAGAAGACGAAGGAGGCGATGGCCTTCCTGCGCGCGGTCGCCGCGGTGGACGACGTGAACCGCGTGAACGACTCGCGGGCGCTGCGCGCGGGGCGGGGGAAGATGCGCAACCGCCGCTACGTGGCGCGTCGCGGGCCGATGTTGGTGATGCCGAATAACAAGGGCACGCGCGCCTTCCGCAACATCTTTGGGCTGGACCTGGCGAACGTGAATGCGTTGAACCTCCTGCACCTGGCGCCCGGTGGGCACGTGGGCCGCTTCATCATCTGGACGCGTGGCGCGTTCGAGCAGCTGGACCGCATCTTCGGCACCTTCACGGAGGTCTCCGCCGTGAAGAAGGGCTTCACGCTGCCCGCGCCGATGCTGACAAACACGGACGTGACGCGCATCATGCAATCGGAGGAAGTGCGGCGTGCACTGAAGCCGAAGAAGGTTCAGACGCGCAAGCCGAGCAGCCGCCGCCAGCCGACGAACGGTCTGAAGAACCGCCGCCTGCGCCTCCGCCTGAACCCCTTCGCGAAGAAGGAGAAGATGATGAGCAAGGGCCTCCAGCACCCGAAGAACCGCGTCGCACGCCGCACACAGAAATTGGCACGCGTCGCCAAGGCCAAGAAGGCAGCCATCGCCTCCATCAAGAAAAGCAGGCAGTAAATGTTTTAAAACGAACATTAAATAGCAAGTTTTCAATTATTATTTTTTAATCTGAACTACTGAAATATATTTATATTTCATAATTTTTTTTATGGTTGACTGATAAGGAATTCTTATAACCAGCGCGTGTAATCTTGAAGTAACTTCTTCTTTTCACATTCTTCTTTCCTATAGTAATCTTACTCTATTTGTTTTTTTTTGTAGCCTAAGGTAAGTTATTGTTCCTAGTTTTTTTGCTGCTTTCCCATTCAATATATCTATAAATTTTTGGAAAAGGGTGCAGAGGTTTTTATTTCTTATCATTCACATCGTGTTCACTCAAACAACGATTCTCAGAATCTTTTGGATATTGCATATCTTTCTGTGAGCATCGGTTTCAACGTTTTTGAAAAAAGTCATTAAAGAATAAAATCAGCAGCTTCTTCTGATATACTATTATAGTATATGTAAATAAGCCCATTTATACCTACACTAACTTATTTTAAGGCTCTATCAAAATCAGACAGAAGGGTATAGAGGATACACGATGTCAAATTTCCCCAAACTGCCTCGCCTTAAGGTGGATGATGAGAACATGGAGAAGCTACACGCTGCAGCCCGCAGAGGCGACGTTGACGAGATCCGCCACCTAATCGCGAGTGGGATTGACCCTAATATAGTTAACCGCTTCGGATGTACTGCCCTCCACCTTGCCTGCAAGTTTGGGCAGGTCGACGCGGCGAAATACCTGGCGGAGATCAGTGATGTTCAGACGCCTTGGCATGGCCAAAAACCGCTGCACCTCGCCGTGCTGTCTAACAAACTAGACTTAGTCACCGCGCTCATCGAGGGCGCGCAAAAGCGGGAGTGGCCTTTGGAGAACATGCTCAACGAGTGTGACGAGATGGATATTACCCAGATCGGGGAGCATTTTAAGAAGACGAAATCGCAGAGCGCGCTGCACTGGTGTGTCGGCCTGGGGAAGGACTACCTGCCGATGCTGGAGCACCTCATCAGTTTCGGCGCCTCGGCGACCACGCGGGATAAGGAAGGCGAAACCGTCCTCATGCGGGCGATGGAGTTCAACAACGACGCGGCGATGCAGATCATGATGACTCGTGTGCCGAGGAATTCGCTGAGGATCGAAGTCATTGATCATTCTGGCCGGACCCATTTGCACTGGGCATGCATTACTAACCATGAGGAATACGGTCTTGAGTTTGTTGAACGAGGCCTGGATGTCAACGTGGAGGATCAGAATCATATAGTACCGCTGTATCTCGCGATTCAGGGTGCGATGCTGCGCCTCACCGAAGTTCTTATCGAGAAGGGTGACAGTTTCTGGATACAAAATGCACCTTTTCATAATGGTCGTACAGTCATGCTGGATCGGATCGAGTGGTTACCGTTTGTGAAACCCGAGGATGAAGCTGACCCGAAACAAAATTTAGCTATCGAAGAAAGGAAGGAAGAGGTTCTGGCTCTTTTCCAGAAACGCCTTGATGAGCTTCTTGTGACTCAGGATTCTCAAACTAACGTGTCCACGAAACGTAAGAAGGGAAAGCCTGTTATCAAGAAAATGCAGCTGGCACCCTCTGCTCCCTACCGTTCACGTTCTCGTTCTCGTGTGAACGAAATAAGGAAACCGATTAATCGAGGTTTGTAATATTTTAAGTATTCTGCACGCAGACAACGTGGTAACTTTTTTTCAAGTATTAGTGTATATATCTGTGATGAAGGTGAAAGAATGAATTAAAGTTGGTAATTGAATCTTATTATTTCAAAGTTGCACAGTATAGATACAGGGGCGGGACTTCTGACAGTTTATGCATCTAAAAATCAATAACTATCCCTTTACGTATAAGGAATATATATTGTTGCATCATCTTTATACTTCTGTCGTTTAGTTGACCGATAAGAAGCACATTGACTTAGTCGAAATTATTATCAGTGATAATAGTCACTATGAGTACGTAAAGGGCTTGTATTTTTAATAAGATCACAACACAGCAAAAGATAAAGGAGCAGATACTATCCTCTAAAATATTGAGTGGTACTAATGATTTGGAATTCATCTAAGGTTATGTGGATTAAGCATATAGGGCTATTGAATCCATCTATAAAACTGTTTTTTTAGAAAAAGTTTTACCTAAATATGTAAACAAATGCAAGTAAAAAAAGAGCTTATACAAACACAAATTTAGACCAAACCTAAACCTTATGGTGAATAGTAATCTATATAAGATTAATGTTTCCATTTACTCACAAAATTACATCAAATCTTGCTAGTTTACCCCTCCCCTCCCCTCCCCCCTTACCGCTTCTTTTATTTATGTTATGTCTTTAGATTATGCGTAAATAGCGCAAAAAGGGGAGAGCATAAAACAGCCTTTTTACTTTTATCTTGTATTTATTTTATATCTATGTACTAATGATTATGATTATCTAGGGTTATTGCGATCATTTTTTTTTTAATATCAGAAATCAAAAAAGCACCAACATGTTGAATGAATATATTTTTTTTGTTGTGTATGGGAAGTGAGTTCCCGCTTATATTTTTTTCCCATTAAAACCTTTGTGTTCCTATGTATGCAATGTAACTAAATTTAGCTCTTTGATGGGGTAAGTTGTTCTTCTTTCATCCCCTCAATATTTTTTATAAAAAAAATAAGAGTATGGATGCGTTCTCAGTATGGGAGTTGTATTTTCATTACGAATTTTTTCTCTTTGTTATCACAGCTTTATTTTATGATGGGAATTAAAACTAGAATACTGATTGATCTAAATTCATCATTCACTCTCTAAAATTTAGGCAATTTGGGGGGTAAACCTGCAAAAATATTCACCCTTCCCTCACAAAAGAAACATGGTATCTGAGACTGCTTCAATCAATAACTTTCCATATAGTAAGCACTGAAGTAATCTTTATATTAACGTTATTATGAAGTTATAGCACGTAATTTTTGTTAAAGATATACTAGTATTGGGATCAGAAAATTAGAACTAATCAATAATAATCATTGACTTTGTCGTCCTTCTTTGCTTATTAAGTTATAGTAAACCCCAACGAAGTGCATTTTATATATTCATTTGCGGAGGTTTCATTTCCACATAATAAGGTAACTAACCCCAACAATTCTTCTGTAAGGTAATCTGTGCCTTTTAAGAACTTAAAAACACAACAAAGCAGCGGAGGTTCATCCCCAACGTAGCTGAGTGCTGTAAAAAAGTCCAAGTTCTCCACATTTCGGCCACTACGAATCTGCGCTACCTTTTACCTGAGAAGTGAAACCTCCACGAGGAAACTAAGTCTTTTTGTGACGAGACGAATATTCTAGGGCACCTAGTTAGATCAATATATTAACTAATCACTTTCTCCCCTACCCTTTATTATATCGTCGACAATCCCGTATTGTGTCAATTCTTCCATACCATGGCGTTTAACCCAATCTTGATTGACGACGAGGTCGGTCTGTTAGACCCCAGCCATGTAAACCGCGAACCCAAAGAGGGGGATAACCGCTATGAGACACTTTTTGCTCCCAGAGAGGCCGGCGGAGGGGGGGGAGGGGGGAAGGCCTCCCTTCCGCGTACGCGTCGCGGGAGGACACGCTTTGCCTTTCCCCCGATCTTCCACTGGAGGCCGCAATTCGGCGTTGTGAGCAGCGGTATTATCATGACTTTCGCTGGCAAGTCCCCCTGCCGCGGATCCCGGAGAGCCCGTTGCTGTACCATCCCCGCGACTACACCGCGCTGCGGACGAGCCCCTTCCCGGCCGGGGTGATGCAGTCGGAGCTAGACGCGATGGCGGAAGGCGTGTTGGGGAGCCTGCCCTTGGCGTACTTCTTGGTGCGGCCGGAGGGACTGCGGGGGGTACGTGAGGCCACCGCGCAAACCCGGCGCCATCTCGCGACCCTCCAACGTCAAGCCCAGGCTGCCGGCCGGCTCGGCGGCCCGTTTTGGCGGCCGGAGGAGGCCAACCCTCAGCTCGACCCCGCCGACGCGGCGCTGCTCGAGACAGACCTCGACCGGGGTCTCACACAGCAGCGGGAGATGCCTTCCCTCACGTTGATCCAGCACCCGCTTTACACGGACATGGGGCTGGTACCGCCAGAGGAGCGGCATCTCGCCCGCCGTGAGCGCATTGCCCCGAGGGAGCTTTATCACCATTTATCCCAGGGAGGAGGGGCGCCCGGGAGCCCTCAGAGCCCCTGTGCAGGATTTGCGGCCTCCGGCTTTTCTCCAGACCAAGACACCACATCTAAGGAGCAGTGCTGGAGGGAAGAGGTCCAGCGTACCTTCCGGCAAGCCCGGGCACTTGATCAGCAGTTCGACCAATTAATTGCGGACCTTGCGCACGGCAAACTGGGCTTGAACAAGGAAGACCAAGAGCATTTGAAAATCGCGCGCACGCTGTGGAGTGTGTTGTTTGAGGGCACCACGAGCGCGCAACAGCGCGACGTTTGGCACGCGATTTGTTGTTTTTCCTTCGCTTATGACGATGGCCAGTCGAGTAAACAAGCGATTCAGGATCTTATGACCTCACTGGAGCGACTCCACCTTCCACAGTTCTTATCCTCATGGCGTCCACTGATCCGCAGCTACATCACCACACTCGAAAAGTATGTGTTGTCTTTGGGGAACGACAACGCCGTGCGGAAACGCCAGCTCCATTTCAACGAGACTGAACTGGATCCTTCGTACATCGGGGATTTTCAACCCGATCTGGAGATAGGCACCTATCTTCGTCGCAAGGGTACCAAGTTGGGAGAGAATCATATACCTCTGCCGATATACCCGATTGAGGTGATACCCGTCTTTCCAAGCGGCTTCACGCGTGCCGTGCAGGAGGGTATTTCCGCTGAGAAGTCGGCCGATGGGTCGTTAGACTTCCTTGCCGAGGCTGCGGAGACTCTACAACAAATGGTGCTTCCAGGTGCCGACATCAACCCGACGCAGCTGAGTAAGCCGCACGTGCTAGTGGGAGACACGGATTTACTTGTGGTAGAGGAAGACTTAAAGACACAATCCGCCGATGCGGTTCCATTCCTGCAGCTCGATCCATCTGGTCCTCCGACGTCCGTGACGCAGGCCACGGAAGGATCCGCGATTAGTTACCAGGCTACATCCAAGAACACCTTTAGATTGCTTTACAAGGATGATTCGAATACCAGTAGTTACCTTATGCACCTCTGGTCTCATCCTGGGAAGGAAAATGGTGATGTGCCGGGCATCGATGCGATGAAGGGAGCTCTCAGCAAAGAAGGCAAGTATATCACGTACGATCGTATAGGAATTTGCAATATGTATGTCAAGGCTTCAAACGCTGATATGCCGGCCTTAGGCCGACACATGCTTTTGTTCTCAAATGAAGATTTTAATCACGACTCGGACAGTTCAACGATAATAGATAGCATGCCTGATAATAGAAATTCTACAGCCCATGAGTCTGCTTCTCAAGATGCATCATTGCAACATATCTTAGGGCTAAAACGCTCCCCTAGTGCGATTCGCGACGATGACGATAGCGCAAACCGTAAGATAGTAAGATTTGTAGCTGATTAGCGATATAAAAGGGTTCATGCAGGAAACTCAACGCATACGAACGTATTCATAAGTATCTTTACGTATTTTGAATATCTTGTATGGATGATGTGGATTAAAGTAATATTGCTGTTTGCTTCTACATGTGGATCGTGCTTGATGCGTTTAATGGTAAAACCATGGGGGTATGCAGCACAGTCTAATCTGCTTATATCCGTTATCATATCTTCCCTACTGGATATAATTTGGGTTCAAATTGAATTTTATCGCTTGGAGTTTTTAATGCGTTAAATGCCTAAGTTATGTTAGATGGGAATTACAGGAGAAAATAGGCCCTACCAGTTTCCATGTCGACCACCGGCACGCCATTGGAAGTGGTAGCCCTTTTTGTTCACGTTCCTTTTTAATTTTCCTAACTTCATATTTTTGTCAATAACTAACATATCTTCATATGGAAAAGTGTATTGTTCCCTAACAATTCTTTTTTTCAAACCAAAACACTTTATTCCGCGCAAACATTTTTTTTTAAAGATATTTTTAAAAGGATAAAGGATAGTTACAGCAGAGTGTGACACACACAAAAAGAAAGGCTTATCGAATTGATATCACTGAATTTTTATTTTCAAGTTAGTATAACACGAATCTGAGGAACTCTAATTTACATCCTTTATCGTCATTAACACGCTGAAATAAGAGGGGTGCCTACGCTTACGGGAAAGCAGCAACAATAGCAATCTGCTAAAGGGGAAAGTGGTCTCACGAGCCCAATAACAATAAACTGCATTAGCAAGAAAAGTCACACACATTCATACCCGAAAACATGCCCGTCTTAACAGCTAATGTGATGCTTCGGGGGCCTATGACATGGAAAGAGACATCGTATAAGAAGTGTGGGAGTTCTATTCAGGACTTTTCTCAAGAGTATGATCCCGTACACACCCCATTGCAGCCCTCGGAGCCCAACCTTTGTATCTCGGGAGGCGTGTCTGACCCCCTTTCCGAGATGCCGTTGCTATTCTATCGAAACAAAATCCCATGTTCCATGGGAACGACCGCTGGCGACGGACCGAACCCTAATTTGCATTACCGTTTTGAGTCTTTGAGCCCTTTTCTCTCATTTAACGGCCGCGCCTACGCCTTTATTCTGCACTCCCAGAATCAGGAGAACCCAAAGGGCGTCAGTGGAGGGGAACTTTCAAGTGGCATGTCTATTTCCAGCGTGAACCTCCCTAGCTCTGGAGGGGTGCAGGCGCATACCCCTGTGAGTGGGCGGCGGTATTCCGGCTCCGTTAAAAATTCCCGAGGCTGCGCGCCTTCATGTGGGTCTTTGTTTCACCGCCAACTTCTTTCACAACTGCGGGATCGCCTGCAGGAGTGCAATGCGGCATGTCAGCGGGAAAGCGGAGGAAGAGAAGGGGGCTCCGGTATGAGTGTCGACCTCTGCGCGAGCGTCGCGGTGGAGCTTGCGCAGCACATGCGCCTTCCCGGGGTGGTCTGGCGGAATGATCCGTACAGTGCTCAGGTTCTAGAGGTCGTTGAAGAGGAGGAAAACTTGCTCAAGGATGACTGGAAAGAAAGCGGCACGAACGAGCTTCTTACCTTACCTACGCGTTATGACGCCGAGGACGTGTGCGCGAGGCGAACAGGGCTCGATCCATGTGGGTATTTGCCACCGACGCGATCCTTTCAGGCCTACACGACACCCCCGAACACGATGGAGTTTCTTCCGTCAAGTCTTGGGGGGAGTACGCGGCGGCTGTTCTACTCCGCACTGGAGCGTGAGGCGGCGGGGTATAGCGCGTCCATTGTGAGCACCATGGCCGCCAGCCTCTGCGCGCATCGGCGGCCGTCCGAGTCCACCGTGCGCGGGGGCGAGCCCAGGGGTCTGCCCGCCGTCCTGAGTGCCCCGACCACGAAGGCCGGGAACCTTCCGCGATCCTACCCTGCGTTAACTGCCCTCACGAGCCGGCACGGCCTCCAGCTGGTTCACGACCCCGAGCGCGTCGGGAGCCTGTCCCCGGTCCCGAGCAAACGGCGCTATGTCGAGCCCGGGACGGCCTTGGTGGTTCACCACACCCCCGTCAGCCCCCTGACAACGGCGCCGCTTCCCC